TGGAGTGCAAGTTGATAAGTACGCAGGTCGTGACAGATTTCATCCGAGGGTCTTCAATGAAGTCGGTACTCAGACAGTTATGTGTTTGTTTTAATTTTCCAAAATTCATTAGATTCAGTGTGTTCATTTAGACTGGAAAATAGCGAATGTTACTCTTTCATTCGAACGAACCATCGAGGATGAGCCAATAAATGCTGTTTGCCAGTCCACAACCAGGCCTTGTTTAAATGGTAAAACTGAACGGTAAACCCGGCAGGTTGAACGCAATTTCAGTAAGAAATGAACCAATCGGGCTCACGTGTTTTGTGGCAGACTGTAGTTTACGGGATGTTACACATCGTAATACACAAGACTGTTATCTGCAGACAGCAAGAAGATGACCTTGCACTGTGCCTTCCTCAGCTCAACAGAATAGATGCCAACCAATCTGTTTCTTTCCTCAGGAAAGAGAAAGTGGCATTGACAACAGCCCAGAGACTGTTCACTCGCTTATTCCAGGGTGTGGAGGGACTGAAGTGCAGCTGTTGCAGGGTCTTTGTTAGCTCATTTGGCTGGATGACTGGTTTGTAATCCTGAAGTGATGCTAACAATGTAGGTTCCGTGCCTATTCTGGGTGAAGTTGCATTTCCATTCATTCTCTATTTTTGAAACGAAGCTCCCACCTTCTCACCCTCACTCCCTGACTGAGGCGTGGTACTCCTCACATGAAGCTGTCCTGTAGGGCATTAAACCTACAATGGGAAGCAATTCAATATCTCTTGCTGTTCTAAATGGTAACTGGTGGCTCAGTGGCTAGCACTGCTGTTGCACATCACCATGAACTCTGTTTCGATTCCAGCCTTGGGTAAATTCTGTGTGGGTTTGGCCCATTCATTTCTTTTTGCTTAAACTGGAGGCTCGACCTTTTTACCCTCACCCCTCGCCTGAGGCGTGGGATCCCCTCAAGTGAAGCAGTCCTCTCGGCTGACAGTGACTGTGTCTTTTGACTGAGACATTTCACGAACAGACCATCAGATGTTGTGCCCAACGGCACTTCTTGATGCTTGGTAACTCATGGGAAAACCTATTCAGACAGGTAGCAGTGATACTGTGCGCTAAATTATCTCTTAAGACATCTTTTCCACCCGTATCTCTATTATTTCCAACCAATGAATGACTTGGGTGAGGAAAGTGAAATCAATATCTTTGTTCACCCATTGTCCTTCTGATGCCCTCCTCCCATATCTTGAGCTGGTACTTTGGGATAATATCCATTTCAGTTATTTTTATTTGAAGTTGATCGAGCAAGCCACTTGGATGATCTGTTTAAAGTCATCACTCGGTAGCTCCAGGTATCCGTTTTCGAATACTTTCAATTTTGCCAAAGGAAGACAATGTTGGAATTCATGTGCATTGTAATGGCCAATTTCTCTCGGGCTGGAAGGCGTTGAAGAAGTTTTCCGAGCTTGGGAGAGTTGGGAAAGTGGTTTTCAAGAGCAAGGGAGGGAGTGTCACAATCGCAGAAGAATGCGATGAAGACATAAAAGCAAACAATATCTGGCAAAGGATTATAGGGATCAAGAAAAACAAAGGAAATTAGGAGTTGAGAGGTGTGACAGGGATTAGTAGGGTTGCAATGGGTGCAGGATGTTACAGAAATCGAGAGGACCATAGAAGCTAATTGAGTGCACAGACATTGAAAGGGCTGCAGTGACTGAACGATCTTCCAGAGATAGGGAGGTTTGCAATGACTGAATGATGTTACAGAGAAAGGGAGGGTATCAAAATATTGCATTATGTTACACAAAATGTAATTTCTGTCGTCTTGCTGTTTTATTTTAATTGCTATTCTTGGAAAATTGTTTCTTTATCTTAGATGGAGATCACAGTCAGATGTTGAACATCTGTAAGTATTTCATATTTGAGATGACTTGTGGCTGAGTGTATCTTGATTCCAAGTGCTATGTTCCTCTCATGTTTGTGACACAATCCCTAATTCATGATGGCATTGTAACACAGAGAGAAATGTTAACTGAAAGAAAATCACTGATACTCACTTTATAAAGAATAAATAACAATTTATTTATTTAATCCCAACAGTGAACAAGTTAACAGAACTACTAACAAACTGAATAATTCCCCCTAACTCCTAACTATTACCTAACTTAACCAAATTCTACTGGTATGCAGTTCCAATAAACACAAGTCCCACTTATAAAAAACCTAAGTAATAAGAAAATAAATTGAAATTAATTCTCTCAGAGTCTACACACCTTTCTTCTGCTGTTCTCAAGTCTTCCACTGATCTGGATGTAAAGGATGTATTCTCTGTGAAGTCTTCTGTGAAGACTCTTGGCTAGAAGTGGCGTTGAACCTTTTGAGGATGAATAGTGCTTCATTAGAGAGCTGAGCAATTTCTTGTGAGAGCTCAAAACTTATCTCTCAGATGGTGGTTCGCTCTCACACTGATTTTCAAAAACCCTCTCCTTACGTACCTTGGATGGCATATCAGTTTCCAAACAATAGTTTTGGCCCAAGGTTGCCAAAATCGTCAGATTTAAATTCAATCGGCTTGCAATCGCTAAGTGCTTGGTTTAAATTATTTGGCTGTCCACAGATATTATTTTTGCTGTATAAATCACGAAGCGTCAAAAAAAACTTTACTTCTTAAAGGAACAACACACTCTTCTCCCTTATTATATTTGTGCAAACAAATTCTACCTACTGCCTTCCAATTCATGATTACTCTACGCAAAGTTTTAACAGTATATTACCAGCAATCTCATGTACATTGAAATTGATTCCCGTGAAGCACTTTCTCAAAAGCCTTCTGATAATCCAAATACACCACATCCACTGCTTTGCCACATGAACTCTACCAGGAACATCTTCAGGAAATCCACTCAGTTCTCGCTTTTACATTTCCGTGCTGCCTGTGCTGAATCAGAGAAGCTTTTTCTGTTTGTCAAATAATCGTTTGCCTTCTGCAAAATATATCACCTTCTCAGTGACTGAGGTCGGGTTTGAAAATCTGCATCTTACACTGTTGTACTCCCTTCGTGATTAAATAATGGTGTAGTTTTGTCAAAATGCCTTAAATCAGTCCATATTGAGCTATCAATGTCATTTTGAATTGCTATAATCAATGCATCCACTATCTCTGTCCACATATATTTCAACATTCTCAGACAAAGGCCTGCTTGGCCCTTCAATGCATTAACTTTCAATCTCATTAATTTGTCCAATGCGAACTCTCTGCAATATCGAATTTCTTCACGCTTTCACTGGATCATTGAATCTTGCTTGTTTCGGGGAGACGTCCTGTGTCTTTCACTGTTATGGCAGACACAAAGTCTTTATTTCCCTCCTGTGACATTTCTGTCTTTCCCATTCTAAAAGTCTCTGTCTTTTCACGGAATTGATACACATTAGCCTTTGTTAATTTCTTTTGCTGAACATTGTGCAATCGTTAAGGAACATCTTCCCTCTGACATTATGATGGGCGCAATGTAAAATGGTTGAGCCTGGGACACTAGACTGAGGAAATCCTGCAGTGATGTCCTGGAGCTCAGTTACCCATCGCCTTAGACAAATTCAAGCATCTTCCA